AATGCCGGGTGTTCTTTTTTTAATTGATGCTAGTGTTCCTGCTAAGCTTGTGCCATTAGTTTATGATAGTCCTTCTTCTCATATTAGTTGTCATTATATTAAAAATTATTGTATTGTATTAGTTGTCTATTTTACTAAATCAAGAAAATATTAATTAATTTTTTTTATATTACCCTTGCAGAATATTTTTTTAAAGTGTTACCTAAGAAGTTTTTTTAAGGGTGAATTAGTAAAATTATCTTTTGATTTATGATTTCTTAAACACCGTATTAAATAAAAAGTGATCAACTACTATGAAACTGAAAGAATCTATATTATTTTACCAATATAAATATTGGATAACTCTACTCATTATCAAGGTTTAGATCGTTAGAAGAAATCACTTTATTTCAAACTTATTTTTTAAGAAAAATTAAATTAGAATAAGTACTCTAAATAAAAAAGGTATGAACTCAAAGTTCAAAAATTATACCAATGGGAATATCCTACTAAAGTATACCAATTCCGTGTAGTGTGCCTATCGATTTTATTTAATTTTATTTTGCTACTAAAACCACTCAATTCCACCTGGACAACCCCACCCCCAACTCCCTACCCAACCTTGTAATTTCATACTACTATATAAGTAGAACCTTTTTCACTTTTCAATTTCATATGTGAGTTTTATATACTTTGAAGAATACAAAAGCAAGAAAAAAGAGGAATTTTTTTCAAGAAAGAAAATGGCAGCAGTAGTTGATGCTTGTGTTTGTGAGATTACAAAAATAAGTGAAAAGGTTAGAGCCAAAAGCCTTTTCTTGTTGAAGAAGAAAAAAACAGGGGAAAAAGTGGAAGAAAGGCAGAATTCTTCTTCTGTAGAAATGGCAGCAGAGAGCAAAAATGATAACATAATGTGTGAAGCAACTGTATTTTTGCTAATGGATTGTTTTGCACCTTGTTGATCAACTACCAGCTAGTAGTATGTATAAATATAATGTTCTTGTATATGTATATGATATATATATGAATTTCTTTTTTTTTATAATTTAGCTTCTTGTTAACAAGAGTTGTACTTAATGAAAGAAGCTTATTCTTATCATCATACTTGGTTATTCCTAATCTTCAAAACAAAAGTGTTTGGCAAATAGATGATGAGGAAATTAATGTCATATCAATTAGGTCCGCACAGAGGGAGCTAGAATTTGAAAAATTTTAAGTTATAAACATAATATTTTGATCAGAATCATTAAAATCAATCAAACTCATACTTCAATTCTATTGAATTCGATCGAGATCTCATACCTTAAACTTATTTTAATCTCTAGCTCCGCCTTAATAAATCAAGTGTAGAGAAAGTCACCTCAATAATCTATATTCTAGAAGCCTTAAGTTATGATCCTTTCAGATACATTATTGGAATGAGACTTTTATTTATGGGTCATGCCAGCATATTACTATATATAATAAGTGAGAATAACTACTACTTACCACATGACAAGTGTTGAATGATATATGTTTCATAGTGTTGTACATTCTTCTTTTATGGTTGTATCTTTAAAATTTATATTATTAGACAATTTAACACCATTAATTACCTACTACTTTATTAGCCAAAAAGTTTGACCTCATTTGGGCCCATTTTTTATTTATATGTTTTCAATTTTCAATATATGTTGTCTATCTAATTCTTTTTTTCAACCTTTTATTTTAAACTTCTTGAAATTTAATTACCTATTTATTACTCTCTCTATGCACTTTTAATTGTTATGAGTTCCTTTTTAGAGTCAAACTATATGAATTTTAACTAATATTTTACAATGTGTTTTTTCATCATATTCATAGGCAAAAAATTACAATTTATAGTACTTTTTGTATAGATTTTGCATATTTAATTTTATTTTTTTAAATATCGAATTAATACATTCTGATTTAACTTTGAAAATTAATCAAATGGACTTTCAAAAAGTGCAACATGACAAATACAAGTGGACGGAGAGAGTATATTTTAGCTACAAAATATATTAGAGGTACAACTTTTAAAAAAAAATAAAAATTTATTGCGTTGACTCTTGAAATCTTATCATTGTCATATGAATTTGAACAAATTATATATTATTAAAAGTTACATAAAAGATGCTATAAATCACAATAATTAGCAATTAAAAATATTTTTAAATCATATAAGAAATTTGGTTGACTAATTGGAATAGAATAAGTAACATGTACTATTTGAAAATAACGTCAAAATTTATAGAATTCACAATAAATTAACAACTGAAAATATTTATGATTATTCACGTGAATTGAAACATGAGTAACCTATATTATTCAAAACTAACGCAAAAATACTATAAATCACAACAATTTAATAACTTCAAATATATTTTTAAGAAAACATATAAAAAATCGTTTGATCTTCAAATTTCATTTATATCACATAAATTAAAACAAAAAAAAAATATTTATTGGGCCCGTGCTGGCACGGGCACCAAATATCTATATATATGTGTCACAAATGGAAAAGTCTCAATCAAGGAAGCAACATATATCATTTACATGACTTAAAAAGCATTAAAAATTACAATAATTACCAATTTAAAATATTTAAAAGCTATATAATAAAATACGTTGACTCTCAGAATTCTATCAGGCTCACATATATTGGGACAGAAAAAATAACACATATCATTTTAAAATTATCAAAAAAGTATTATAAATAATAATAATTAACAACTTAAAATATCTAAAAGACATTTTAAAAGGGTTAATTTTGTAATTTTATCCATATCACATAAATTAAGACAAAGTGACCAGTAATGTACGTTATTGAAAGTTACATAAAAATATTATAAATCACAATAATTAATAACTTAAAACATTTTAAAAAAAAATATGAAAATTTGGATGACTCTCCAAATTTCATTTGTGTCACATAAATTGAGACAACAAAAATAACATATATTGGGTCCATTTTAATTTATTTGTCTTATTTTTTATTTTATTTTTATATTTAAAAATTGCATAAAAATATTATAAATCATGATAATTGACAATATAAAATATGTTTTGAAAAAAAAACAAAAAATTTCACTGATTCTTGAAGTGAATTTATCGTAAAAATACTATAAATCATGATAATTGACAACAAAAAAGATTTCAAAAATGTTATATGTGGGTAGTCTTATTATGCCTTAAATAACGTCAAAGAAAGTACAGATTTGTGATAAAAAAAACTTATTCCTTTATCCACGCAAATAATCGCTTCAAAAACTCGATTATTATCCCAAAACATATCATTTATATTATTGGGCCCGTGCATAGCACGGATAACATTATCTAGTCATATATATATGTATGAAATGTCCAATTGGAACCGACTTTTTTATCCATCTTATTTATTCTTGTGTTGAACTGTTGTGTACATTTACTTTTTCCCATGTAGTGAAAAATGAATATACTAACTATATATAAACTTTTTTCAAAAATTTCAATTTTTAATTCTTTAAGTGAATGGTAAATCGTATATCGAATAAAAAACAAATTAAAATGCCACCAATCACGGTATTTATTTAGCTATATATCCCCCTGTAGGGGATCACTCCAGTTGCTCAATTAACTCTTTAAAATTATTACATGTGTCCTCTCAATAATCTAATGGATCAGATTCTTTACATATTGGCATGTGTAATGAAACAAAATATAATATAACATATTATTATCGCACAAATGTAAATTAAAGAGGCGTAGAGTTATGGAACACTATTTTGTCTATTATTTTACAACTTTCTGCGTAATAGAGTGGAATAAACAAAGTAGATTTCATTTGTGGTCCTAATCTAACAAACTAACAACCTAGTCATTTTCTTCCTTATTTTTTCTTTCTATTTTATTTTATCATTTTTACTATTTGCAATTCTCTTCCCTTCTACTATTTTTTATTTTCACCAATTTTATGAAAATATTACTCAAATGTTCTTTTTAATGACAAAATACTGGAATTGGTTGCTTATGTACCTTCCAGATACATAGATTTTAGTTTAAGAAAATTGAGTAATGAATTTTGTACTATTCAACCGATATCTAGAAGTTTATCTAACATGAATTGTGGTGAGATGGTTGGAATCTCTCCACCCTCAATCAAATGACTTGGATTCGAGCCCTGCCTAGAAATGAGGCATGCAATTTATTTAAACTTGAAGCCAAGTTACAAATTGTGAAAACTCAGTATGAATATTCATAAAATTATTGCATATACTCTCAAACTAAGGTATAAAAGTTGAGAATATTCTAGTAAAATATAATATACCAAATCCCTGTATCTGGTGGGCAGATTCTGCCTGTAGATTTTTTTTTCCTAAAACCACTCAATTCCACCAGGACCACTCCACCCCTACCCCTACCCACACCCTCACCTTCTGATTTCATACTATATAAGTAGGCCCTTTTTCACTTTCCAATTTCATATCTGAGTTTTACATATTTTGAAGATTACAAAATCAAGAGAAAAGAGAAAAAGAGAACTTTTTTTTCCTAGAAAGAAAATGGCAACAGTAGTTGATGCTTGTGTTTGTGAGATTACAAAGATAAGTGAAAAGGTTAGAGCCAAAAGCCTTTTTCTGTTGAAGAAGAAAAAAACAGGGGAAAAAAATATGGAAGAAAGCAAAAAAAGGCAGAATTTTTCTTCTTCTTCAGAAATGGCAGAGAGCAAAAATGATAGCACAATGTGTGAAGCAACTATGTTTTTGCTAATGGACCGTTTTGCACCTTGTTGATACCATCAAGTATCTAATTGTAGTATTTATATATATAGTTTTTGTTACATTGTTTTATACTAGTTGTATGTATAAATGTTCTTGTATATGTATTTGATGTAAGAATTTCTTTTCTTATATATATATATATATTAAATTTGTTTGTCTACGATTCGATCTTGGTACTATAGTCTATAACAATCAAAGTCGAAGCAAGGGCCTATTATTAAAGCTAAAAAGAATGTATCTCATTGAATGATAAATGCCATTTTACAAGATTGTATCTGCAAAATGCAGAAGAGAGCCTCATGTTTGTTGCAGAAGAAAAAAACTCAACATTTTAGTAAAGTGAATTCCTCCTATGTAGTAAACTATGTACAGCTAAAAGGCAAAGTGAACTCAACAAAAGAGTGATAGTAACTATGTAGTTGTGCTGGCCTCCAGTGTTGTGCTAGCCTCAGGGCTTTCTGTAGTCCAATCGCGCATAACTTTACGCCTTTCTTCATCCCATTTAAGAATTTCCCTAGTGTATTTAAGAGCTCCATCAACACTATCAGCCTCTAAAGCAGTTAGCTGTGAAACAAACAGTTTTCGCTCTGTGATGGAATTATATAGGCGTTTAAACTTCACAGCTATGTAATGATAAGCACGTTGAGCCAACGATGGGTTGTTGTTGCTGGTTTTGCTGTTGGGATGACGACTGATCACTGGATTGAAGTCCTGAAACCATTCACATTCAGAAAGGGGACACTCTTCAATTATTTCCTCTAGTATGTCAAACTTGTTCAATAGTAAGAGGCAATGTTTCTGGGCAAAAGCTGGATGACTGACGAAATTCTCAAAGAGCTTCTTGCTTTCCATCATCTTGTTTGTGCAAACTCCATTGTAGTCTTCTAGATACTCGGTGTACTCCGTCAAGGAAACACAAAAGATAACAAGGTCAACATCCTCAAACATGTCCAACCACTTGCAATTTTTCCCTACACAGCTCGCGTGTACTCTTATTAGTTGGTACCTACATTAGAAAAAGGATGAGTTGATGGAAGAGAGCTCGCAAGTACTCTTATGAAAGTTGTAGCCTGGAGAGAGAGCTGACCTCATTGAGGATGAATACTGATCAACTGCCTCCATGTAACTATCCTGAGTTGGATTAGGGAACGAAAAGTCCATGGACGCTACCCCATTGGACGAAGTAATGCCCTCAGCATATAACTTATCCATATCAGAAGGGTTGTAGTCTACCTTTGAAATCTCAACAGCCTACGAAAGACAATAATTTTGTAAGTTGTAGATGAAAACAAAGAACAGAAAAATGATGTCCTATCAATCCCTAATTGAGAATGAGGCAGAAGACAAAGAGTAACCTACATGATCTAAGAAATAATTGGCAACTCTCGGAAGCATTTCTAGCTCATTTCTCCGCTGATATGTGGCCTGAAATGCTTTATGCTTCCACAACTCCTCAACTACGGCTGAGTACTCTCGAGTGGCAGCAGGAAAAATGACCTCCAAATTTCCTAACATCATAGCTTGAAGAAGCCAATCTGAAAAGTTTTTCAGTCTAGGGTTGATGGAATAGACATTCTCTTCTTTAATCTCTTCTTCAATCAGGTCTGGAAGCGCTGTTAGCAAAGATGATACTCAGATACTAATGCTTGATAGGATCAAATGATTTCATAGATAAAAGTGATTTGAAACAAAAAATTTACAGTATACTTAATGAGAAAACATAAACTCTTTGTGATAAAAAAACAATACTGTGAAAATCATGTTTATGATTTGTATCTCAGAAGCGAAAAAACTAAATTCAGAATAGTAAATAACATAACTATAGCAACACTAGATCCACATATCAACAGTCTTTAAATCGTTGACATCAACATCTTTAGGATTCTATATATCAGTCTTTGTACTGCTCAATTGCTCAACATTAATATTAAAGGCAATGCAGACTTAAGTGGACAAAAGGAGGGTTCTGAGAAACATTGACGTTGCATTTCTAAAGAGGTAAAGACAAAAGGTAACAGAAAGCTCAGTTCATACGGAGGTCAGGAACAACTATTAAATTCTATACCTGAAGGGCCAGGTTCATCAAGCCGTTTCTTCCTCATTTCAACACGGTACTCCTCTTCAAATCTTTCACGTCCCTCGAGGAGTATAGCAATATATCTATACAAATTTCTTTGAATCGTGTACGTAATGTTCTGATGCTCTTCTTCTGAGAAAGGAACGCGATATACAATTTTGGCCTGAAATAGAAATAAATGCCTGTCTTAGCAACATATGTTATCAAGAATCACTCATCCTCTATACATTTTAAGTGATATAAATGCATTTAATCAGAATACATATATCTTCATTCAGAATATTATAATTAAATATGTAATCAAATCCATTACTTGGGTTCTTATTAGCATAAGCCAGGATGGTAACAACCCAACAGTTGCAGTTTTGACTTCATTAGTAACCACACATCATGCATTCTATTTGCGATCTAGCATAACTATGTAAGTAACCAGCTTATACGTGCGATTCCGATGAATAAACTACATAGATTTAGTTAAGCTGGCTATCAACTGAGTCCAAAGAAACATAGAGAAATGTCTTCTTTTTAAGTGAAATGTTCCACCCATACTGTACCTGTTTGAACAGAGTACTTGTTCCCGATTGATCACAACCAGCAAGAAGTAGTTTATTCAGTTTTTTGCTAACTGTGCTGCAAGGGTCACCTGCATCCAATCCATTTCTAACTTCTTCACCAGAAGAATTTGCAGACGCAGGAGGAATAGGCAATCTCAAAGCATGGCAAAGCAGCTTGTGTGTAGTCTGTAAAAAGATCACGATTATCAGAGAATGTGAGAAAAAGTAGGTAAAGAGGTCAAAAGAAATGAATGGATGAACAGAAACCAACCTTGTCCCATATTTTTCCAACTACATTGTTCATGCCCTCTTCCTGGCAGGATCCGTCAGCACTGAGCCAAAAACAAACATCTCCTTCACAGTTTATTCCTGCCAGCTGAAATGATTTGACAACATGCTAAGAACTCCAACCGCAAGCATTCATAATTTCAGAAGACTTAAGTAGTTCAGAAGTCAAACCTTCAACATATACAGCTCTACTTGCGTAATTTTTCGATTGTTTATCACAATATTTGTATTTCCCTTGCTAGCATCTTTCTTAATTGTATCACCAACAGCTAGTTGGGGAGAAATTATCTGACAAGGCTTATGTCCCTCCTGTTTTATTAAGCCAAGGCAAAAAAAATATCAGGCAAACAACAAGATTAATTTCAATGCCAAAAAATGAAAGTCGGATCGAATTAACACTCACCTTTCCCCATAATCCAGACACCTTGTCATACCAGTAATTCCCTGGTCTCAACTTCTTTGGTGGATATGCACAGCTTTGCAAGTCGACCAATTCTCTAAGGGAAAGACGTTTCCCATTCACGCTCACGAGATGGGGTGGAAGCTGATTAGCTTGACATGACTTCTCCAATTCCATAATCTCATCCATTTGCCATTTACTTAACAGCCTCTTAAGCATTGCAGAACACTTACCTAAAGAATCTCGCTTTGATTCATTAATACGGTAACCAATGCAAGTAATGCATTTTCTTCCTTCCGGCATTGCTCCCATTGCTCTCAACACACAATTGATACAATACTTTGCACCACAAGCTATGCATACTTCCCTCTCAGTGAATCGTTTCCCTTTATGACACCGAAAACACTTCTTGGAATCACTGCTTACTATTGGTTTTTCGGGAAACATTCCTGGCTCGTCTTCATCACTGTCGGTAGAAACATCACTTGATTGAGTTTCACAGAAAGTTACAACAGCTGTTCTGCAACCTTGGTTGCCAGCAACTTCATCATCATAATCTTCACAAGACAATACTTCTAAGGCAACATCTGGAGAGCTCAAAATTGGTTCCTCAGGTTCTAAGCCAACGGAGCTCGGATGACTCCCAAATCTTACTTCTTCCTTGCATTCATCTACCAAGTCCTCAACATCCGAACTTCCTGACAGTTCACGGGAGTTATCATGACTGTCAGAAAATCCTAAGGTACCAGAACTTTCAATTCCATCTGATCCTCTATAGGCATGATCATTCTCAACATATTCTGATTCTAAATCAGACTCCTTTGACTTCTGATTCTTGATTAATTTGGAATCACTCTTGAGAATTGGTTCAATAACTGGTAGTGACAAATTTCTACTCAACATAGCAGCAGTAGCAACTACTGAGGCAGTTGGAATCCGGTGTACATCAACCGGAACAACCTGAGGAATGTCATAACTAACAGGAGGACCAGAATACTCCTCAGCAAAGGAGTATTCTACATCAAACTCCTCATAATTATCCTCCTTTTTTGAGGAAGAAACAGGGAAAAGACTTTTCAAGATTGCAGCCATACTTGTTAACTAAGTCCTAATCTCAAAACCCCATAAACCACAATTTGATTAAAAGACAGAAACTTTCTTTACTCTTAGGCTTCTACCAAAAAAGGGTAATCAATGATGATTTACACCCCAGACAAAACTGTTTCTTGATATAACCAGAATCCAAAATGCAAACCCTTTTGCTCCTTCCTGTTTTGGGGAAAAGGGATAAATAAAAACTTAGAAATAGAAACTGAAAAATACAGTGATTACAATATAAGGAGTATTTGGCCTTGAACTTGAACCTTACCAGTAAAAATCTCCAAGAATCCAAAAAGGGTTCTTGAAAGTTGTGTCAACTGATGATTACAAGCCTAAAAACCTGATTCTTGATAATACCCAAACGCCAAAATTTAAACTTTTTTTGATTCTTTACAGTTTTGGGCGGTAGAGAACTAAGACTGGAGAATATAATGTGTTTTTCTGGTCTTCAAACTTCAGTCATAACTCTTACCAGTAGAACTTCAAGACTGGAGACCATAAAAAAAGTCTTCCAATTCTTTTTGCGTAGACCATTTCAACTTCTCAATTCATCAAAGTTATACTCTTTTTTTATTTTATTGATCAACGCGTTTAGTAAACATTTCCAAGAAAATATGTCTAAAAAATGATCAACTATTACTGAGGCTGATGGTTACCTCATTTTTGAACTTTGAATTGGTCCAAAACATTGAATTTTATTTTTTTTTACAATGGGGGTTGGAGGGTGAGGGGTATTTCTGACAATTGACGTGAAATTTTGGCGCTGTTGCTGTTTGCATAGCATCAGCAAATCAGGTGCATGTGAACAAGAATTGGAAATTTGGGATCTGAGTAATCCTAGATTAGGTGAAGTATTTTTTTACTAATCAAAGTTGAAAATAATTAATCTCAACGACAAGTGTGTTTTATTAATATGTTGTCAAGTCTTTCGTTGTTTGAATGTTGATCAAACAGCAATCACGTTGTTGACCCGGCGGTTAATTAGGAACCACAAGTCTTTGAGTCTTTTCTCTTTATTTTTCTTGAGTTAATTGTAAGTTCCTTCGAGGTCAAACAACAACATAATACTCATATAGTTTCCGAAGGATCTTCGGGCCAGGTAATCAATCGCATATAAAAATAATAGGAAAGGAAATACACTAGAAAAGAAGTCATGCTGAAAATAATGGCGAAAAGAACAATAACAATAATGAATAATGTGATAACTGAGTAGAAAGTAATAATAATAATGGAAAACTAGTTGACGCTCAATTACCTTTTTATTTTCTATCCTAATCTTCAAATACATATCCTTACATTTAGGATCATGTCTTCGGTAAGTTGTAGGTGTGTTATGTCATGTCTAATTATCTCTCTCCACTCTCACACCTGCTTGCTAGGACATTCGAGTATGCTCACACATCCATTGCAACATTTTCATTTTTATTACTTTCATCTTCTAGATGTGAAAGTTCTTGATTGATCAACATTCTGCCCATATAACATAGCTAATTCTAATTCAATAGAGTTAACAATAATAAAAAAAATTGAAGTAAATTCTACCAAAACCACAGCTAGTCTAAGAATAATTTTTATGTGTAGCATTTTTTTTTATCCTGTCTGTTTCAAAAAAATATGACATATTTTCATATTTTATAAAATAACTTAACTTACAAATTTAAATTTTTATTTTAATAAAATAATTTATAGCTACAGAGTATTTGCCTCATTTTAGATCATAAATATATTATTATTTAAAAAAAAAAAAAAAAACTTGCTTCATTAAACTTCACACCAACAGGAGAAAAAAAAAACACATAGCAATGTCCGTCAAAAACAAATTGGGTCAAGTAAACGAATTGTCCTATTTTTCGTGTCGTTTTATTATACACACTAATTAACCTTTTCTCAACCTCTCTCTCTACCTGTAAATGACAAATACTAAATCAACAACAAAGATCCTCAAAGGTTACATTGGATTTAAAGATTAGAGGTGTTAAATGAGCAGGTCGACTGATTTAGATGAGTTGTATTAATAAATAAAGCAGTTATTAATTCGTTTGAAAGTTACTTAGATATTAAAATGCGAGTCAAAATTCGATTCGCCCATTTCTTACTAAATTTTAACAATATTATGTTTTTTTAGTACCTAATAAAGTTATATTATTATTTTTTCGTATGGTTATATATAACCTATCAATTTATTATTTTATTTTTTAAAAAAAAGTCTTTTTTAAAATATCTTCACAAGATTTATTATTGATCAATTTGAGCTAAATATCCGATCGAAATGAATTGAGTTAATAAATAAACGAGTTAATAATCGGTCAGACTTGAATTGATTGAATGAATTGTGATTTTATGGATTAATTTAGCCAAACTTTAATTTAGCTCGACTTGGGGTCTAGTTCAGCAAAATCTATTTATTTTTTCAATTTGAGACTGAGCTTAAAATGTTAAACTTTCAAGCTTGAAATCAATTTATCTAAGCATGTATTAAGTATTTATTGTAAATGTTAAACTCCTTCATTTCATAGGTATTAGTAATGTAAAATGAGTCATAAGAGAAACATATAAAATAGTGTTAAGTTATATTTTTTCATTAGCCCAATAGTTTCTTGCAGTTGAGGTTCTCTTCTCCTACCTCAATGTGGATATCAACAAGAATATCACACAACTAGTTATTGGGCCAACAAAAAATCATAAGGATAAAAGGCGTTAAAAACGGTTAATTTAAGATTCAGACGTACTAGTTAAAAAAAAATAACGGGTTAATAACGTAGCTTGCAAAGTCTGTTATCTCCTCATCTCTCTGCTATGTTCTAGTATTTCATCTCCTTTCTTCTCTAGTATTCGTAATTACTACTATCTTATTTTCACTACTTCAATTGTAAATTTTCCATTCAAGTATCAATTTGACTGTTATCTGTCTACACTTATCCATCCAAATGGTCGAGTTTGGTTAGGAAATTGAGAAGGAGTAATTAATCCATATATATATTTAAGACTTTATATTACATCCTATACATCTACTAATTAATGATTTGTAATATAACAAATTAATTACGAGTGATAACATATTCGAATTAATTAATATTAAAATAAATTTATTCTTTTTTATTTATTTTAATATTTAATGTATGTAAGAGAAAGTATAAAAAAATATACATTTTGATAGGAATTACGGAGGAAATCAAATTACTATAATTTAGGGAGGAATTATTGAAGGATTCCAAGTCTAAAAAAGAAAAAGTTGTTCAAAATGTATTAACAGTTCAATTTTATTTTTTTTCATTTTTTGATGATTTTTGTTTTTTAGAACTTGTATGTTATATTTTATAATTTTATTAAGTGATATATATTCTGCATGCAATCTTTGCATACGAATTATGAATGAACTTGAAATACGTTCATATGTTTGAAAAATAGGTATGAAAATGGCATTTTATTATTGTAGATGTGAATATGAAGTAGGTATTAAAAATGCATTCTTATTTTTTTTAAATAAAACTGATTTTATATATCATTGTTGGTGGATGTTAGTATGAAGTAGGTGTTGAAATGCATTCTTATTACTTTACTTATGATTTTAGTGACATGTGTGAAATCTATATTAATATAGGTCCCTAACCCTTTCTTAAACGGTAAAAAATTATCTCCCCAATTGATTAAGCTTGATTCACCACTTATTGCCAATATATATATATCAAATTTATACACTTTGTATATAAATTTATTAATGATTAAAAAACTTGTTTTAATATCAATTATATACTCTGCAATATATAATCTATCTATTAAAAGTGCATTCTTATTACTTATGATTTTAGTGAAATGTGTGAAATCTATATTAATATAGGTTCCTAACCTTTCTTAAACGGTATAAAATTAGCTCTCAATTGATTAAGCTTGATTCACCACTTATTACCAATTCATATATCAAATTTATACACTTTGTGTATAATTTATTAATAATTAAAAATCCATTTTAATACCAATTATATACTCTACCGTATATAATCTATCTTTTGTACTAGATCCAGTAGGTATTAAAAATAGGCAAATTTTTTTATGTTTATATAATGCTTGAAATCTATATTAAAAAAGATTTCTAACCCTTCCCAAAGTAAGTTTAATTCATTATTTGTTATCAATTTATATACCAAAATTATACACTTAATGAATAAGCTAGTGAAGCAGTTTTCATTAACATTACATACAAACCTATTTTAATATCAATTACATACCATGTATACTTATAGAAACAGTTTTCATTAATATTATATACAAACAGTTTTCATTACATAATACCAATTATATACAATACTGTTATTAACATTACCATGTTTTAATTTATGTATATTTACTTTGTTAAAAAAATTATTATTATTATTTTAGAAAAAAAAAAACAATATAGATACTAAAAAAACATACCTAACATTTAATCATCTACCACGAAAAAAAATACTTAAAAAATGTCAACAGAAAATAAGTAAGAAAAATAAAATTTTCAGATTAATGGGACAAACTAATTGAGAGAAATTTATGGACTGCAATTAAAAATCCTGTTAAAACTAGTAATAACAACATTTAAATATGTCATTTATTCAATTTTTCCATTGAGAACTAACCATTAGCCCAGGATAATTGAAGCCCAATCTAATTAAGCCCAATGTCATATAAAAAGGACAGTAAGCCCAAGACTAAAAGGATCCGAAATTGAAAGACATGAAATTGAAGCCCAAGACGAAAAAGATCCGAAATTTTCCTTTCAATATTCGTACCTACCTTGTGTTTCTATGTGTATTTCGTTTTTTAATAATAAAGTTTTGACTCTCATAGCATACGAAAGAATCGAATGTTTCAAGATCGCTATAAACCTTAACATAAGATGTGGGATAATATATGTTAATTAGGGAAGGGAGAGAAAATTAACAATAATTCAGAGACAATCATATCAATTTGTATTAAATAATAATGTTGTTGAGGACTTAATTCTCTATGTTAGGTGTGCATTACGACTTTTTGCTATTAAAGTTAGCTTTTGGGCCATTATGCAATGGCCAACCAACTATTATTGGACTCGTTTTTATACTCGTAATTTATTTATTTTTAAAAACAAATTTTTATTTACCGTATTTAAAATTTACCGATATAATTTCTTAATTGGCACCAAATAAATTCAGTACGAACAAGGTAAAAGTGCTCATTGTCTTCAAAGATCTTAATGATGCCCACTGGCCCTTTTCACCGGCCAATTAAAGGCTTAGAGTTAACAAAAATCCCATTCTTCCTTTCTTCTTTTGCTTTGAACTATTCCTTGTTAAATATTTGTCACATTTCTAAGTATTTCTTATCATGAACCAACTATTTTTTTAATGTTGATTAATATTATGTTAGGCCATATTGAACTATAAATTACTCTAAAGAACCAGAAAGTATGACTTTCAACTTATTCTTTTCAAACATTGCTCCTTTATTAGCAATTCTTTTGCTTTTTCTGAGTGCCACATCTTTAATTTATAGGCTCAGCCAACTCTAGGTGGTCCTCGATCGACTAGACTTGTAAATGCAGGAATTAGAAACAAACTATACCTATATATTTTAGAGTTTAACTTATACTATACATTAATGAATTAAAAAAAACATGTAATTTTTATTTGATCATGTCTAATTTAACACTAAGATGTTCAATGAAATATATGCAAACGTCAGAGAATTCCTAAGAGAATGGGGACATCTATTACTGATGCTTGCTTATACAATACGAGATTTATGTTGGATCATATGTTTTGGGGAGCTTTTGAACCTAACGAAAAGGGCTTTAAGCCTACAAGAAAGCAAGCGCGAGAGAATCCAGGAAGCTACCGCTTCTATTTTCACATGATCAAAAGCTGAACTTCAGCTCTAGTTCTTTGCTTTAAGAATTTGTTTGTCTGTCATGCATCTCACTAAGCACACTTTTTTCTTAGCTTTGCTTTTCACATTAACTAGTAGCACACATGTGACGGCAAAGCCTTAAAAATAGAATCATCATTAATTTAGCAATATACTTTTAACATTCTATATCCCTCAAATAATCGACCTCTCTCATGAATATTGAACAAATAGATAACAAAAAATAATAATACTAATTATATGCAAGAAGTAAAAACTTATTCATTGATAAAAAAAAAGGTACATTCAAAGACGTTCCATTGGATGATTGAGAACTTTCAAACACATGGTTACTTAGAATTTACAACTTATACAAGACAATCATCAACCAAAATGTGGGAAAGGAGAAAAAGAAAACATTAATGAATGCATTTTGAATAATGTTAGTTCCTCTCTGCTTCAATATTAACGTTCCTTTGTAATGAAGAGTCTGCTCATTGGTCCCCCACCTACAGAACCGTCCTCTGACCGGTTTTTTTAACGGCACATTACAAACAGTTTTCTCTTCGTGTGAAAGGGAAAACTGATTTTATGTGTCACCACCAATAACTCAACCCCACACGGCAATTCACAGCCACATCTCAGCCTCCTACTCGGCAGCGCGTTCCCACCACTTCCTCCACGTGCGTTTTTTAACTCTGAATTCACCTCTCAGGTTGCATCATTTTCTTTTTATATTTCCTCGAAACCACTAAAGCTGTTCTCCGATAGTCTCCAAACCTTCACGGAATTGTCCAAACTACCGCTATACACTCTCCAATATTTGTCACTTTTCTTCTCCATGGGAGCTTCATCTTCATTGTCGCTGCCGTTTGAATCTTCTTCGACAGTCAAGCATTTAACGGGGCCGTTGTGTCCTGTTAACACCGTTAAGCAACTATGGATACTACCTTCTTCTCTTCTCCACACGCATATGGATTTATCAGCCGATCCACTCAATACCAGATTACCAGCAACCGCCACGCACAGCACAGCTAATTTATGACCTCTCAGCGCACCTCCGTACTCCAAAAAATGCTTCTGTCGCTCCCAGAAATTCACTAGTCCATCGGAGGATCCGGCATACACCTGTTAACACATAAAATAATTAGACGTGTGTTCTGTCTAACAACATAAACGTTTTAAAATGAATGAGTTAAATAACGAAATAATTAAGTAAATAAAAGTGTGCTCTTACCGTTGCTGCGGCAGCGTTTACGGCCAGTGATGTCACAGCATTGTCCTGTTTCAATAGTGTTTCCACAAGAACATGTTTTGCACTATTCCCAACTAATTCCCTTCTCCAAGCTTTAACCGTTCCATCTGCTGATCCAGTGAAAACCAACCCGTCGAATCCAACGACGACTGAATTAATTGCATCTTGATGAGCATTAATAGATTCAAGGCATTTCGAATCCGATAATCTCCAAACTTTCAGTGTTTTATCCCAAGATCCAGAATAAAGCAATCCTCTCTCTTTATCCAAGCTCATACAAGAAACAGCATCAAAATGCTTAATCCAAGGAACATTCCGATTTCGTCTTACTTCAACATACGCTTTAGGATTAATTGAACTCTTTAAATAATCTCTAACGGTAGGTAAACTACCAACACGTTTATACGCTTTTCTTTTTTTCCCTAAAAATTTCCATACCCGAATTTTACCATCTTGATGACCGGTGAATATTTTATCTCCGTAAACAACAATGGCTTTTACTAATCCGCTTTGACATTTGAACCCGGAATATTCCTTCAAGTTCTTCCAAACTCGAATATTTTTGCTGTCTGATCCGGTATACAGCAAATCTCCAGATGCAGCTAATGAATATATATGTCCTTCTTCTCGAACAAGAGACCCGATTAGACCATTTTTGCAATCGCTTGATTCTGATTCTTCGGAGGAATCGAGTAATGGTTGGTGAATCCATGGAGATTTTACATAAGGCGAAGCAGATTGGTTCCATGGAGACATGAAGTAATTTGGGGAATTGTTAGCAGTAGTGTTTGTGCCGTTAAACGACGACGTTCTAGGTGGACTGGGTGCAGAAGAAGCATTGCTGCTGCGAGCGGAATTGTTACTGCTTTCTTCATGGTCACTGATTGGATCGGAGTATAAAAGGGTACCGAATTTTGTTCTTCGAAAGCTTTCTTTCTGTAGCAAGATCGCTCCCATACTATTATTTTTTCTCGTCATTTTTTTTAACAAAGATGAATTGAATGAGGGTAGGTATGAATTATGATTGTTGATTTGAATCTTTTTGGAGTGAATTTGGTTTGTAATAAATGTAGAGGTTTGTGAATAGAGTAATGGAAGAATGAGAAGAAGATTGTATATGGAAATAATGGAAGAGCAAGGTGAGAGATATATAAGCAATGGAAGTTGGGGGTTGGTTGTGGCCTGTGGGGGTAGGGGGTAGTAGGGGGAATGGTAGAGAGACGCGTGGGAGTATGATACGTGAGGTTTAAGAAGAAGGGGAAAAAAAGTATGCAGAGTCGAAATTTTCACTAAAAATTTTTATAACACGTAAAAGATTACGGATTCAAAATCTAACGCGTACACACATAAATTATACTCCAATTTTTATATATAATGTAATTTTCCGTCAAGAGAGTTTAGAGGAATCTTTTGCTCTGACATGAATATGCCTCTGATATCATGTAATTCTATCTGCATTGATTTGAATATGAAAGCTCATAATTGTCAACTTATTTCATTTACCGCTAAGTTATATTTTTGAATTAAAGAGTTCAAGTCATATATATGATATACAAAATATTTGTATAATTTATCACTTAAAAGGAAATTGTAAATGAGTCTAATTGTATATAATATCACTAAATTATAGTTTTGAATTAAAAAATAATATTTTTTATTGGAATAATAATATAAAAATTATGCATAAAATTTATACTATGAAAGAATTTACGATCAGGTGCTTCTTTGCCTCTTTGATTGTTTTGTGTTCCACGAGATGTTTTGTGCTTGTTAAGGAAGCGTTGAATTCTAGAAAAGGCAACGTGGAAAAATAGGGTTCAAATGTTGAATTTTTATAAGTAGAAATGACTAAGTTATTTTCGACATGTATTTTCCTACTTAGGAAATGGGATTACAGGTAATTGACTTTGAAATTTGGATTAGTGGGCAAATTACTGTTTATGTATTTTATTTTCTTTAATTCTCATAGTCAGCTGTCGTTAATGGTCGTTTAATTATGCCTAATTATCTACTGTGATTTTCCAAAAAAAGGAAGTACTATAATTTTTCCCTTTCATTTCATAAACTTATATTACTATAATTAATTTAAAATGTTTGTTTTATATTATATATTATACTCGGTTTGTTTCATTAAAATTGAGCTCAAACCTTTTAAAGTAAATTAATGAATTGCGATTAGTAAAAAGAATTGACTTTCTCAATAATAGTAATGGTCAATAAAAAAAACTTGGCTTTTGAAAAGTTAGTTCAATAAGAAAGCGTCAAATATTGATTTCATAATATGGATAGCTTGATGAATAATTTTGACCTTTATGAAATTTGTATGGAAATAGAATCTAGTCAAATATTTCACATGAAAATTGTGCCGTACGTATATTGTGTGTTGTTTACTAAAATAATGTTACTGTATTCCCATTTGCCTCTTCACCTAATATTGGTATATATCGTGTTTAAAATATACTCTAATTGCAAGGCTGCCAAAAATTTAAGGTATATTAGTAATTCTTTGAAAGATTAAAAAAAATTTAAACTGTGAGTTCGAGTTATCAAGAAAATAAAAAAATTGAAGGATTTAAGAAAGGGAAAATTGTGCAGAATAACAAATATTTAAATCATATTAAATGTTATTTATATATTTTATTTATATATTTGCAAGTAAAATATACAAACGAGCAAAAATATACAACCACAGCTTTTATAATAAACGAAATTATAGATATAAAGTGCAATTATCGAAATTACATCTATAGAACTTTATTATATTATATTTTTATTTGTGAAATTTTCTCAAGGCACACGTGACGGCGTTGGACTCGAAAACGGTTAGTTTATTGAAGTGGTGGGCCAGATGGAACAGGGCAGCTGAACGAACGAAACGAATTGATGGGCCGTGTCAGCCCAATGATAAGGACCCATATAAATCAAGCCGCCACGTAAACTGCTACTTATCACATTCATCTCTAATGTCAACGTGACACGTACTGTAAAAAAGCCCATGGGCCGAGCTGATGTCAGCCTGATGCCCATTACGGCTTTTATAACTTGCCAGGTGTTATTAAATTACGGCCAAAGCACAAAAATTATGCATTTTGCATTTTGCATCCAAATATCCAAGGAAGAGGGGCTTCAAATTATAACTGACACCTGTGGGAGGAAGGGTTATGTAACAGTTGTTCGAATTTCGAGCCTTAAATAATTTTTAAATTTTTTTTTTTATTATTATAATTTATTTTATTTTAAAAAATATATTTAAAATTAGAAAGTTTGAATCTTGAAAGTTGAAAAGTGTAAATTGGAATGAAGGTATTTAAAGTTTACATTGTTCTGTATTAAGATGAATTTTATACATACTTTTCGGCTTCTTGTGTTTGACTTTAATTTGTTTAATGAAAAAGTGAAGAACTTTTTGAATGTTAGGTTGAAATTCTACATCAAAAGAAACAAAAGAAATTCCGTTGCTGATTAAAATTTTGTTTGAGTATAGAAAAAGCTGGCTAGTGTTTGATTAAAATGGTTGTTATATTTACTGAGGATTAACTTAGCAATGTAATTTTTTTTTGTTACAAGTTCATTGTATCTTAATCCGTTATAACAAGTATAGCCAATCTTAATTTCTTGGTTACGTATTAACTCTACCTTTTTATGAAAATTAATTTATTAGTACTTATATCTTTTAGGTGATATGCATGTAAAAGATTTTTTGTAATGTTAGCGTATACAACTTCTACTCGATGAATAAAATAAATTTAGAAGAATATAACATGTTGTTAATCACGTTATTAATTATAAAAATGTGAAACAAAATGTTGTGATTTCTAAACAAGAAAGAGTTTGCTTTCTTTTTCATAAGGTTTGGTGAAGTGAAGTATTTGAAGTTCAAAGCTTGGTCGAAAATTAGGTTTGTGTTTGTCCATTTCAAGCAGTTGTCTATCTAATCTAATATGTAATTATACAATACGTGGGAGCATATGAAAAAAGCCCCTATTTATGAGTTTCCTCCTCTATTATTAAGAACTCTGTCAACATCGGATATGCCTCTACTCGATTTGAGTCTGGGTATGAAATCGTCTTTGTTAGAAAAAAAAATTTCATTAATATAATACTTTGTGACGTGAATGTAAATTTAATCATATTTTAATATGAAACGTACCAGATAATAAATAATAATAACTCTGCAATATCTCAGTTTACCATTAGTTAATATGTAGTATTATATATTTTTTTGGCACTTAAATATTTTGTAAGCAAAATAAGGATGAGCTAAGCAGTATCTCACTAGTCATCATTTTATATTAATTAAGGTTATTAGCACATCCTGGACAAGCCATTGACTTTGAGATCTTGCAAATATATAAATACTTGTTAGCAATATTTAGTTTTAATTAATTGATACACATCTTGTCTTAAGCTTCCAAATGTCAGGGTATTATGCTTTTTTTTTTTTTTTTTTTATATTAACTTAGTGATCTTATTATGGGGAAAAAATCATGACTTGCTTGTCAGCAAACTCAGCATCATAGATAACCTACTTTTTTGTTAAATTTGTCATCTTATTGGGAAACAATATTATTTTAAGTTAAATCATTTTCCTCTCTGACTCTTGATTATATACTTGGCCTAAATTAGAAAGTAAAATCACTAAACCATACTACCAGATAATTAAATGAGTGACAAATTTAAGGAAAAACAATATTAGTGTGGTTTGATCACCTATTAGAGATTCATGATTAAAGAATTAGCACATAGCAATTTAAGGGATTACAAACAAAACAAATTAAAGTGCTTTGGAAATAATTAAGGATGACATAAACAAGAAAATGATATTCGGATATATATACATATATAGTTATAGAATATAGAATATAATATAAATAGACGTATGAAGTTTGTTGGATATTTAGCAGCATAAATTTTTTTAAACGAACATCTTCTAGTTAAACTAAAAGAAAGCATTTCTTTAGAAAATTTTAGGTTTAACAAACATAAAAATCATATAGTACTCTATAGCTATAATTTTGCTATGGAGTATCAGATTTGTATAAAATTGCAGGCATCTGATGCGTATAAATCACATCGATTTGTATAAATCATGTGTTTGTGTCTATGAAAATCGCGTTTGAATATGTATATGTTCTTTGTGTTTGTATATCTGCATAAAATTTGAATTTGTATATAATTGAATCGAATTAAAACAGTTGTATTTGTATATCAAATATCTTTCTTGCTTTATACAAACACAAATTATACATTGTATTTTGAATAATTTATGTTTGTATAAAGCGAGAAAGACAAAAAAGAACTGAGCAGGGGAAGATTAATACCAAGTCTTGTATTAATCACAATTATTATGATAAATAAAGTTGTATTTTCTATGAAATTAATTACTGATCCAAATATATTCTAGAATAAAATGATTGGTTTGAGACTCTTTACGGGGCATTCTAAAAATAACTCAAATTATAGTCGTTCATTATGATTTAAACTATCATCGATCGATCCCATAAAAAAAAGTAATTATTTTTTCAGTATTAGTGACTGACAGATTCCATTAAAATAATTTGTGTTCCAGTTTCCCCCAAAAACTCTTGTTTAATCTACTCCCCATGATGAGTTAATAAAATCAAAGAAGAATAGACGAGAGATAAAACGACAAAGAAATAGGAACAATTTTATATAAAAACGACAACTATATTATTGTTGCTTTTTCTCTGAAATTGCAAACTGTGCATTTGTAGAAAATGATATTCCATACTTTATAACTACAAAGTACAAGTCCCAATAATCATGGTCATAGGAATAGTAAATCTACACCACAAATTAAGGGCTCCATGTTTGTCTAGTGATAGAATATGTTCCTCTTCAAATTATAGTCGTTCATTATGATTTAAAATATCATCAATCGATCCCATAATAAAAACAGGATAAGAGTGTTTTCGCCACAAAATATATAAGTTTTGTTCTGAACTCATAATTTCATATTCAGAACAAAAAATATTTAAAAGTTGAACTCATTAAATCTAAATATCATATTTGTCT